GGAATCTGTGACCTTGTGTGTTCAGGTTGGCCTCTGTATCCTCGCCCTTCTCTGGTTCTTTGATCAAACTATAACTCTTGTTTAAATATCTCCCACATCTTTGTGTTTATTATGTTTTCTATGTGTTCCCCTCTATGAACACTTTCAGGGACACCTTCTAGCTGTAGCTGTCTTCCTGCCCACCCTGTCTCCTTTTTTTTTTTTTTCATTGCGATCAGTCTTCTGACAAGCATATCCATTGCCACTTTGATTTCAGAAATATGTTTTCACCTCTGGACTCTGCATGACTCTTATTCAATTACAGACTGTCATTTTAAAAATGTGTAATATGTTATTAATTCTTTGAGAATTCCAGGCATGCATATGGTGTATTTTGATCGTATTCACATGCCCCACTTCTCTGTGTAACTCCCTACAGACTTGCCCCTGTCCCTTCCCCACCTGGTCCCTACTTCAGGCCTTCTTCTCCTTCCCATTGAGTCCAATTTTTGTTGGCCAGATACTAGGGTGTGGCACCATCTGGAGCATGGTAGACCTAACAGAAACCACATACTTAAAACTAGCTCTCTCCCCTTGTCCAGCAGACATTAACTGTCTGTAGTTCCTCAAGTGTGGGTGGGTGCTCATGAGCCCCCCTTCTCATTTTCATGATATGAAGTTATTCTCGAGTTCCCAGAATTCTATAATTTACTTTATTCCCATTATGTGAAATCTAAGTCTGTTTCTCCTGGCTAGAATTCAAGTTGCTTTGGATCTCAAGTTCCTGAATACGATTGTCAATGTCATTTGCTGACCTTGAATGATGACTTCTGGGCTTCCTGAGGTCTGGGTGGTGGCAGGCTTGTGTGAGGCCATCTATCCATTTCTCGTAGAGCCCTGGGAAGCCCGCTGCTTGGAGACAACTTTGAATCGGTTTGAAGTGTGATGTCTCTTGCTCAATCCAGCTTTGCCTGCCGAGACAGCAAGCTCACACAGCCTTGTCATTATGTGCTGGTGGCACAGGTGCCTTTTGCCACTCCTTCCCTTCATTTATCATTCAGTACACATGTCCCAGCGTGGCTATTTCCCCTTACAGTAAATGCTCAGCCACGTGAGGTCTCAGTGAGATAGGGACAGGCTCTCCTCTAGGTCGGACCGGCTCAGGGATGCCATAGAAACTGACTCCTTCCCAGGAAAGCTTCTGATGTCCGAGTCTGTGGCACTGACGAATGCCTTTGGGGACAGTTTTGGCACTCTGACATCTATCTCCATATCAGCCTAGATTTTCTTCCACTGCCCTTAAATTTCTCCAGTGTTTCAAAAATTCACAGTTCCCTTTCCACTGTTTTGATGGAAAGCCTTGCTGCCGGACACCCTGCTCTACAACAGGAAGCTATGAAGTGCAGAGCAGGTGAATGGGATCCTACCTTAAATTATAAACAGAGACAGGGGAAAAGACAGATGTGGAAGCTGGAGCCTAGCACAAGAAAAAAAATAAGACAATTTGATAGAAAAATACATAGCAAGGAAAAATTAATTCTCTCCCATCTTTAATATTCCCAGAGAGGTAACACTGAGATCGGAGACTAGGACAACACCTTTTAAAAACACTAAAAATCAGCGTTTCTCCTTCAGCTTTATCCTTTAGTGAACAAAAGATGAGCAAGGATTCTTGTAAATTCACAGCAAGAGCAGTGGAACCGAAAGAGTCCTGGAAAATGTTACAATAAAGATGCTCTACCATAGAGTTAAGCGGAAATATAGACACAAGGAACACCAGAGAACTACACGTTGTGCGATGTTTTATTCTTTTGGCTTTGTCGGGGGGCCTTCATCCAGCTCCCAAATAAACCACATACAGAGGCTTTCTCTTGGTTAGGAACCTCGGCTTTAGATTGGCTTACTTCTTGCCAGCTTTTCTTAACTTAAATTATCCCCAACTACCTTTGGCCTCTGGGCTTTTTCCTTCTCTTACTTCTGTTATCTTCCTTTCACTCTTACTCCAGTGCTGGCTGGGTGACTGGCCCCTGACGTGTTCTTGCCTCTTCCTTGTTTCTCCTTCTTTTTATTCTCTCTGCCTGCCAGCCCCGCCTAACCTTGCTCCTCCCTTGCTATTGGCCGTTCAGCTCTTTATTGGAACCATCAGGTGTTTTAGACAGGCACAGAATCACAGCTTCACAGAGTTAAACAAATGCAGCATAAATAAAAGCAACACACCTTAAAATAATATTCTATAATAAATAAAGCCACATAATTGCCTCATCTGGGAGTATTCATAGGAATGAAAGTTGACTTACAGTTTTTAGTCAACATTTATTTTAAAAGGGAAAATAATTTAAAAAGTAATTTATTTTTATTTTATATGTGTAAGCATCGGGTTGTATGCATGTCTGTGCACTACCTTGAAGGTCAGAACAGGGAAACATTCCTTTAGGAATTGAAGTTACAGATAGTTGTGAGCTGCCATTATAAGTGTTGGGAATTGAACTTGGGTTCTCTGAAAGAGCAACCCATATTCTTAACTTCTAAGCCATCTCTCCAGCCCCTATATTTACTGCTTAAAAATTGATTACAATCAGCATGCAAAGCAGCAGACTTCATTGTGGCATTTTTATATTTAGGTTGATACATTTGTGGATGGACCCATCTCTTCTACTTCTCTCCCCTTTTTACTCGTATGTCAAAAATATTCTATTACCCTCTCCCTACAGTCCCTCAGATCTCCATGTCCCCCCTCCTTTCTAGTTTCAGATCCCACAGTGATATTCTATAGCGCACGCGCGCGCGCGCGCGCGCGCGCACACACACACACACACACACACAACCCTGACAAAGACTGGGGTCTGGGCCTGGGAGGCGAGCCTAGCTGGAGTGGAAGGTTACGTTCACACAAGACTCCAGAAGGACAGAAAATTGTCTCTCAAGGACAGGAAGACTAGATCCAGGGCAGCAATGGCGGACCACTTTAGGAGCAGAGGATTTCAAGAGGGCATGATGATGGGAGGCTCCTCTGGGAGGCGCCTCTGCAGCTCAGAGGGAGGAGGAAGGGGAGGATAACAGGGGAGAGGAACGATGCATCTGTCCAGCAGCTGAGGGACAATGCCGGGGCCTGGGAAGTTTCTGGGAATGGATAAGAAATTTCAAAGGTAATTCAGGGGATGGATAGGATGTATTCCCTCGGTAGAGGAGAAGGGAGAGTCAGTAACTGAATGGGAGGGAGATGGAGTCCTGAGGTGGCGACAGAGGAGGAAGAGATGGAGGAGGAAGAGCCGAGGCTCCCTCTGCTTTGGATTAGTATGAACATGCTGTCAGCATCATCCACTTGATGTTTACAAAGCCCAAAGAGTTGAGAAGGTATCCTGATTTGGGGGTGTTGCTTATTCCTCCATCAGCTTGATCGCTTCTGGACCTCAGAGGAAAGGAGGGGTCATCGCCATCCAGAAGCTTCCTTCAGTGATTGATTGCTCATCATGAGGATTCCACAGACAAGGTCCAGAACCTTCTCCCTGCAGAATCCCAGTGGGCTCCCCTGTGGGAGCCTAACATCCACTCCTGACTGGACTAGAAGGAATTTTCAAGACATCTGGCTTCTGTATGGAATCTCCCGCCCTCCCTGCAGCTAGTCTAACTGGGAGCTGTGGTTTGCAGCTGTCTGGCTGCTGCTCAGAGGAAGTGAGGTCTGAGTAGCCACTGTGAGTAGGTTCCCAAGCAGCTTCCTCCCCACACTCTTGGCATTCATGTGGCACGGCTATAAATTATGCCCGGCGTGTTCATTTTCAGTTTGAATGTGTTCTCATCCCAGAGGAGCGACTAATGGCGTCAAGTTACTGATGTGAAAAAAGCCGGCCGCTACAATGACTATGGATTAATGAAACAGTCTCGCGGAGGCTGGGGCCGCAATCAATCCTCAGCCACTGGCGACACGGATTTTAAATTGTGTTCTCTGACCATTTCCCTCTTTGCCAAAATTATTTTGCTAGAATTTTATTGGGTAAATGTTTACCTCTGCTCAAATATTTGCTTTTTATTAAAACTGGATGCAGGCAGGGCACCTTCATCCTCACACATTACAAGCCGGCCGAGAGGGATTTCAAAGCCCATCAGACTTTCTCTAGGAGGCGTGGAGACAAATCTCTTAATCCAGGATCATCAGTGACTGACAAATTTCACTCAGAAAGTTGGCAAGTACAGCAATGTATTCATGAACTCTGCCCATGGGTCACGTAAGCTATTCCCCTGATTTTCTCTTGGGCCTTTGCATTTCTCCAGCAAATTTAAAGGGGATGAACAGTGCAACTCTCTCCTGGTTTTCTCTTTTCCAAAATGTAGGAAGTTTATTTTTTATTTGGTGAGAATGACAAAGAGTTCACTGATGGGCTCTGGGATGTTCTAAAAATCTGGATCCTAATAACAAATTATTCTGGTCTGTTTCTGGAAGGATAGAGCGTAGATTTCATCATATTCGTTAAATGTTCAGTAACATAAAGATGGTTTCAGGGTTGCTATGGTGAACGCCATAGATGGCACTATCCCCCAATCCCTGTGCCCTGCAGTGGGACTGTAGCTGTTTCTACGGCCAGTGGTTGTCTGGCAGGTGGACCCCGGCTTCCAGCTGTCAGTTTTCTCTGTCATGAAAGTATGGCCTGTTCCTTCAGGCTCAGTAAGACAAACGTGTGTCGTTCTGACAGTGTCGGCCTGCCTCCCTCCCTCTGAGGGTCGCCATTCTGGGTTCTGCATTCATCCCATGCATCTGTATCCAAGTAACATAAGGTGTGGATGGAGGTCTGTTGTCTAAGGACCATGTCATCTGCAACAACCCACGGGCCTGATTTACTACCAGACTCTCACTGAAACATGAAGGACCACACTGCTTCCGGGACCAGGGAACCATACAAGGCTCAACTTTTTTTGGACAAGGAAAATACTTTTGTTATTTATTTAAAGCAGAAAGACAGAGACACAGGCCAAAGGGTTGGAAAATAGACAAGACAACAATAACAGAGGAAGCCAGTCCATTTGAATAGTGGTGAGAACACAGTTTACTGGAGGGCAATAGAGCTTTCTGCTCTGCCCATTAACACACCGAACCACAGATTCAAGCAATTACAGAAAACAAAGTTCAAGAAAATAATAACATACACAAAGAATTATAAAATGTTCACAAGGTTTACACAACGAGCTGAGTTCCATATATTTTTCTTTTTGTGTGAGGCTTACATCCCTTTTCTGGTAATGTCTGATATGACCTAGAACTGGGCTTTGAGATAAAGACTCCTGTGTTGGAGAGGGATTCAGAAAGAAACTTCTGCTTCTTCACCAAAGGCTCAGAACAGATAAAAACCATCTTCGGCAAAAAGAACGAGGCCAGAGGCAACACAGGGCCTCCCTTCAGGATGTACTCCAGAGCCGTGATGGCAGAAGCAGTGTGGTCATAGAGTAATAAGAGATACTAGGACCAGTGTGACAGAACAGAGAGCCCAGAAGTTGGCTCGCACACCTAGAATCGGTTTATTCTCGACAAAGGTGCCCAAACCGTGCAGGCTGAGTGGCTCGCCCCTTCAGCGAGGTATGCAGGGAAAGCGGGCACCACATGCAAGAGATGGAGACCGAACTCTCATCTGTCATTCTGGCCTAACACTCAGCTCGTGATGGACCAGAGACCAAATGCAAGATCTGAACTGGAAACACGCATGGAGACATGTCAGTGTGGGCAATGCCCAGATGCTGGAATAAGCAATGGGTTTTTTATATTATTATAAAAGTGAACGAAACAAAACCAAAGAGAGACAAATGGTTACACGGAAGCTCTGTACAGCACACAAAACAACAGAGGAAAGAATCAGTCTACAGAATGAGAGAACTGTTTGCCCATGGTCCTCCCAATGAAGGGTTCATAGCCATAATGCATAGTATATTTATAGTGTGTAGGGAATTCAACAAACAAGATTCTGACTACACAATGAGCAGCTGCTTTGAGCAGTCACAAGCACATGAGGCACAATAATATCATCAGTCATCGGGGACACTGAAGCTACAGTGAAAACCAGGTGCGCAGTTACAATGCCACTAGAGCCAATGACAAAGCAAGCACGACCCCCAGGTAACAAATGCTGGTGTGACTATGGAGAAAAGGAACGCTGCTGGTGGGAACCAAAATCAGGATGACAGGAGGCCCTATGAAAACAGGACCCCATGGGATCTAGCCATCCTCCTTCTAGGTACATGTCAAAAGGAAATGAACTCTGTAACCCCCAAACATACTTGTCTGTCCATGTCTACTGTGAAGCTACTCATCCTAGCCAAGGCTGTAATCACCTTAGGCCCTCACCAACATGCACAAGGAAAAGGGAAGGACAGGTAAATAGCAGAATATTATTAATCTGTAAAGATAAGTGAGATCCTGTCATCTGTAGCAGAATGAACAGAACTGGAGAAAACTGTACGAAGTGAAGTAAGCCAGGGACGGAGATGAGTGTGACCCTTTCTCCCTCGCGTGTGAAAGTCAGGGTGGGTGATGTGAGAAACGTGAACTGTAGAGGCAGGGGAAAGACAGGGAGGCCAGATTTGTCCTGGAAGGTGCACACTAGACACGTGTATTCAAGCACTGCAATATCACAGCGAATCACATTATTAAGTACAATTAATACATGTCAATAAAAACAAAAGAACAGCAATAAAACATCTACTTCTTGACAAAATGGATATACACTTGTGTTTAGGAGTAGAGGTGAAAACGATTACTTTAGTCCAACGGCCTCTATATCCATCCAAAGAGGAAGGTTTAGCTTATTCCATCCTATTTCTGTTTTCTTTTGTCTTTTGAGACAGGCTCTCTCTACATAGCTCTGGCTGTTCTTGAATTCACTCTGTAGACCAAACTGGCCTTGAACTCACAGAGATCCACCTGCCTCTGACTCTTGAATGCTGGGATTAAAGGTGTGCACCACCACCACCCAGCCTTTCATCCTATTTTTTGGTAAGTTCCTATTTCCAATGCTGAGATTTTAAACATCAAAGTCACCCAGGAGTAGGCAAAGCCAAGCTGCCAGTTGGCATTTTCAACTCTTTTCAACTTTTGTATTTATTGTAATGGTTCTGCTTGACCATGAATGGGTCTTCTCACAACACACCACAGAAACACAGTTACCCACAGAAACATAGAATGGCATTTTTTACAGGAGGTTCACATAGCAAACATCACAGAGTGTGTGACCTCAATAAGGCGTTCAACGAGGGTGCGCCACCTCCCCTGTCCCTCTGGCTGGTCTTAGGAGGCTCTTATGTTGGCATCACATTCTTCCAGGAGAAGAATTAAATCTTCAATCAGGCTGTGCTCTCGGCCATGGGTCACTTTCATAATGTCGAAGGCCTAAAGATACAGGAAAGGTGACAGATTAATATCTCAAAACAGACATGCCCCTGCCTAGGTGACAGATTACTATCTCAAAACAGACAAGCCCCTGCCTGGCTTCTCAATGATCTAGGGGCCCTGTGGCCCACAGCATCTGGTCTTTAGGAAACAGGCAGCACCATGGCTCACGGAGTCAGAATACAGGTGGCATGGGTGCTGCCTGGGTGCTGCCTGGGTGCTTAGAAAGTGGGCTCCGCACTGGGCACCCTGGGGCAGCCATGATCTTCAGTGACTACACTAATGCACAGGTTTAGGTGGGTAATGTAGGAGGTTCGTTAATTCTCACGGAGACAGGTCAGTCACACAAAAGAATAAACAGTAAGTTGCTTCCTCCTAACAAAAGGTTTTAAAACTTCCATGTATTTTGTGAGCAGACAATGTGAGGAAGCCAGTTCTCTCTTACCCTGTGGGTCCCAGGGATAGAACTCAGGTTGCCAGGTTTGGTGGCAAGCTCTTCCATCTGCTGTGGCATCCAGCTGCCCTGTGACACTTTCCTTTTTAATCTGAATCACCATGTACTGTGTACACACATTTTACGTTCTCTTCCTGGTGTGTGCCAGTGCAGTGGTAGCATGTGGACGGTCCCTTCTTTCAGCCTCCACGTTCAGTCTGTTACTAAATCTTTGACTTTCCACCCCTAGGATACTTTGAAAATTGGGCTGAGTTTGTGGCTACTCCAGTATGAGAATCCAGAAGAAATAAAGTTAGCAACTTAAAGGCAAGAAGTCTCTGCCTTGGTCTCTAGTGCTTGCTCCTGAGACACCAGCTTCTAAGCTGTGAGGATGCCCGCGCTGCATGCAGTGGCCACATGTGGCGGCTCTGGATGACTAACAGAGGAGCCCAGTCACCGGGTTTGTGTCCGGTGGGGCTTCAGCTGACTCCAGCATCCTGGCAGAAGCCATTTCCCGCTATGCTCAGTTCCATGACCCAGAACTGTGAACATAATCTTATTGTTCTTTGCTCTACTGAGTCTTTGGATGGTTTGCACGAGCAATGAATGGCTCAAACAGCAGCAGTACACACTGTTCAATGGGAGGCAGGCTGGGAATAGGGAAGGGAATTCAAAGCTACCACATCCTGTGTGACTGTGTTCTAAAGACCCTTCGAGATGGCTGGTGGCTGGGAAGCACCACGGGATGGGCTCCAGGGCAACCAAAGCACCCTGCAAAACACACACACATCCCACTGGGTGCAAGTGCCGTGATCCCAGCAATCAGCCACTGGCCACCACTCTGGGTTAGTCTAAAGTCAGCACGATTGCCACTTTACAGGTGTGTGTAACTCCACCATGTTTAGCTTACAGACATTACTTCATAAACTACTCTTGAAAATTTAGGTCACTTCCAGTTGTTTTTGATTATGACATGACACAGATCTTCCAGCTATGGGTTTCCTGTTGTTATTGTTGTGTGTGTATGTATTTTCCTTTTCCTTTGTTCCCCCCTTTGTTAAGTATTTGTTGAGATAAATCCTTAGGGGTGGAGTTCTTCTTGGGTTTCTTGGGTTTGTGCACCTTAAAGCCATAGAGATTTTGGAGCTGGAAAGCACCGAGTAGGTCTCAGTGGGACCACTCTGTCCTCGCTACATCCATCAAGACGGACACTCTTGCCTCTACAGAGGGGAAGACAGAGGGCAGGGCAAATAAGCTCTCTGACTGATGGCCGCTGCCAGCCTGAGCTCCTGGCTTCTCTTCATGTTTCTGTAGGGGTGTTCCCTTTAGGGCTAAAGAACAGAAAACAAGTAGGCTCTCTCTGTTTGTCTGTCTGTCTGTCTGTCTGTCTGTCTGTCTCTCTCTCTCTCTCTCTCTCTCTCTCTCTCTGTGTGTGTGTGTGTGTGTGTGTGTGTGTGTGTGTGTGTTAGAGGGGCAGGAGGTGAGGTTACATTTAGATGTCAGTAGGAAGAAAAAGGAAAACTGAAAGTAAGTCCTGACGCTCGGGGCTTGCAGCAGCAGTCAGGCCTACAGGAGGGGCCGGGACAGATGAGGGAACTTGTTTCTTGTTAAAATCTGCACAGGTCTGTCCTGCTGCAGTTACTGCACACATATTCTGAGGCAGGGCTTGTTGGAGGAGGGGGAGAGGAGGAGCTGCCCCACCTTGCAGGCCACTGACTCTGGGAGATTAAAAGCCAACATCTGAAGCCTTATGTTTTATTCTCTTTTCTCTGCATCGCCCTGGGCCCTTGGCTGTGCTGGACATGCTGGGGTCTGAGGCAGAGGCCTGTATGATGGTGTCATTACAGAGGCTCCTGGATCAGATCCTTCATGGCAAATTCTCGAAAGCCACTGTGGCTGTCCTGCTCCCATCTCCTTACCTGGGGCTGGCTATGCTTGTGTTGTACAGGGGAGGGTGAATGTTTTCTTGGGAGGGCCTCCTGCAAACAGGACCTGGCCCTGCATCTATCCTGAGAAAGGGCTCCCCTGGCACAGTGCCCTCTGCTGGCATGTTCTCACAGCTCCTAAGCAGACCAAAGGCTTGGCCTCACTGTTGTTTGGGCCTCTCTGTGACTTGACTGACAGACAAATGGCAACGCTGTCTTCTTGTCACCCCGACAGTGGAAGGCTGATCTATGTTTTCCCAGGCATCTTTCTTCTTCCAGTCTTCCTTCCTCACTACCGTCCTGCAGTTCCAGTCCTAACCAGAATGTTCCTGTCCACTGAAGAGGCAGAGCTCCTATCTGGTAGCAGGGCAGGTGCCCACGCTTCACTGGAGACTTGGGACCTATGACCACACTGGGGCTGCAGGACCCAGAAGACAGGGAAGCTGCCACCACCTGAGCTCACAGCCCCACTGCCCAGACCGCTTCCTGAAGGCAGGGCAAAAATGCCTAGCCAGAAGCCCTGATCAGAAGAAACGACTCCAACTCACTTGGCCTGACGGGGGCTGAGTGGGATTGCCTAGCTCTCAGCACCCTGCCAGTGTCCTCTCTTCCTGTCCAGTACAGCCTCTAGCTGTGGACAGTGCAGTGACCACGAAGAAACACAGTGTCCTGGATACCACTTTTAGACAGCCTGAGGACCCTGGGCACGGCCCAAGTCAAGGGATGCTGGCTGTGCTCTGTGTCCTCTCATTTGCTGGGGACCTCAACACTAGGGTCATACGGGAATAGGGCGCTAGTGTTCCAGGATTCTGTACCACAATGGTGGGAAGCAGAGGACAGGAGTATAGGGAGGGGACAGAGGACTAACGTGAAGATGGCAGTGATAGTAGCGGGTGGGTGGGGGATAAAGGCCAAAAGTGCATCACTTGTGTAGAAACCAGAGCTTAGATAAATAAATAAACAAGATTTTCTCTGAGGGGTAGTCTTAGATGGAAGAGAAATGGAAAGAAAGCAGAATGCTAAGCCTGCCAGCGACTTTCACGTATTTGCAGTGTGAACGCTGTGAGATGCTGAGCAGGGAAGACCCGATGATGGAGGAGAACATCTGGTCCTTGTCCTGGATGCCATTCGTGTCTACCACGGTCCCCAGGCAAATACCTGCCTGGGACAGAAGACAGCCCTGAGTGCTCGGGACACCTCTTCAGCCTAGCTGGAAGGTGACTGCTTCCTCTCACCTCGCCCCCCAAAATGAAGTTGCCGTAAATCTTGGGCAAGCCAGAGCAACTGCTGCCGGGAGCTCTGAGTCTCCCTGTGCTCAGCGCCTCCCAAATGCTACACATGTGCACGTCAGAGAGAACAATTCCAGTTTAATTTCCTGCAGTGGCGTATAAAACAGATTAAGGAAATATGAAATTGGAGCAGGCTCGGTTTGGGGAAAGCATCTCGCTTTCCATTAAATTTTATTTTTTAATGGCAGCGTTTAAAGGGAGCCTGCATACAATCAGGCACGGAGGATTCATTTGCAGCCTCCAGTGGGATGTGCTGCACCCACGCACGGATTCTAAATGTCACACCGGAAATGGCAATGTAGATTTTCTGCCACATGAGAGGCGCAGGGCTCTCTGCTGAGAAATAAAGAAAAGGGCCCCAGAACTGATTTCCATCTCATCCTATTTTTTAAAGTAATTTTAGAATTGTGGCCATGTATTAAATAAAATGAATGAGATCAAATTATGATTTAAAGTTGGAAACAATATGGCTTTCTTATTAATTTTTCATATAAATATATTAAGCTTATCAAGGATCTCATATGCTTTCTACTGTGAGCCTGGGGAATGCAATAAATGACTTCCCCAAGCATGATTTAAATATGGACATAAAAATCAAAAGGAAAAGAAACATGTGCAAGATAAGGTCCTTTAGATCAGGTCACCCCAGGGGACACTGAAGCGAGTTCTCCTCTTCTGTCCATCCCAGGAAGAAAGCCCTGTGTGTGCTGGGGAGGTGGCCTGGGCATTCAGGAAGGGAATGCAGTGGAGTTATACCCACAGGCCACTCCAGGGCCACTGAGTTCCTTTGCAATGGGCAGCAGGAAACCCCAAAGCCTCTGAGGACCCATGTGAGCTCAGCAGCCTCCCTCCAGACCCCATTCCACTCTGCCCCTTAAAGACTCACTGCAAATGTCCGTTCCCCTTGCAGGGAATGCGCTGGGGGAGGCAGCCTATCCTTGGAGAGACCATCTGTCTACTCATTGGCCCTGTACTGGCAGGCAGTTCCAGTGAGTCTGGGTCCCTGCTGTGGAGGGGTGGGAGGGGCTGTGGCCCTGTCAGTCTGGACCTATGAGGTCATCACAGTGAAGGCAAAGTGCTAGGATGCCCACAGGACGGAGGGTTACAGATGTGGTGAGCTCAGGGTGCCCGTCAGCAGCAGAAAGAACATGCCAGGAAGAGGTGCTATTGTTGGGACTGGAGGGATGGTTCAGTGGTTAAGAACATTGTATGACATTACTCTTGCAGAGAACCTGAGTTCAGTTCCTGGCACCCACAAATCAGCCCACAGCTGTCTGTAACTCTAGTTCCAAGAGATCTAATGTCTTTTTCTGGCCTCCATGGGGACTGCATGCATATGGTACATACACATAC